TGCTTATTGTCGTTGCTTCACGCTCGCTTGTCTGGGCTTTGTCTCTAACGCCAACTGCAGGAGCCTAGGCCTCCCCGTATACCCTCATGCGAACTCAACCCAGCACCACTAGAAAGCGGAACACCGGAAGGCGGCAGGAGCAGCTCCACCTGATACACCATGAACACATTCATTCATCTGAACTTATGCGTGTACTGGCTACCTATTAGATCCTGTGGGCTTATTCCCACGTATGGCTTCATCATACTTATCCTCTAGTATTGGGGGCGGGCCCCCTTCTCCTTACATGTACCGCTTCACATATCTGCGGGTGACACGTAGTTGGCTATTCTCATAATTGAGTTGTTTCTTTTGCGCATATGCCTCAACCGCACCCATTCTTTTATCCTAAACGGTTTTAAGGTCATTTTCCTCCTCTGCTCATCTGTGGAGCAACAGAGGAGCGGCCTACTGGTAGCCCAAGAGCGCCTTCGTCTTCTCTTTTCCTATCGTGCTGCATTTACGGCGTGTGCTGCTCGGGGAGAGCTGGGGATAGATGTAGCATTCTTTTTTTCAAATTGGTCTGTGTGTTCCTACTTTCGGGCAGGCTGACCGCTGAGGATCAAGTAAGTGCTCAGCAATTTTCTATAGTGATTATGCATGCACCATCGGGACTTGGTTGTGCACGCAGGCAAAGTTATGTTGCAGCAAGAGTTGCCATCAGAGTGCGTTGGAACCCGTGTCATGTCACCGCCTTTTCCTCGGCAATAAGCTCTTGGGTCGCCGGTCCCAGGCAGCCTGGGGACTGGAAGTAGGCCAACTGCCTTTAGTCTTTTGCCTGCACTCCAGCTGGCGCTCGCCATTTAATAGGGCCAAAGATTCTCTTACTACACTTCCGAGACTTCTGTTTCACCTTGGCTTTGTTGATCTGCTTGAAGTCGGCATACATGCGCCACCTCCCATCCTTTCGCTTCACCGACACCGGATTCTGCCCAAATGCGCTAGTTGATTGTTGAACCTTGCTTTTTCTTAGCAGGTCAACTGCTTGCCGCTCCACTGAGTTTGCGGGAGGTGACCTGCTGCTGATATCCCTCCCTTTTACTTACTACGCCTTATAACTCCTTCAATTCTGCGTACTGCTCTTGTTTTTAATGCGTTAACTTGATCGACCCCGCAGAGCTGCTGTCTTCGTAGGACCATCGCGACGGACTGCGTGCAGTTCCCCTTCCTCGTTTCCTGGTGTGCCCCAGCAGTGTGCAGGAGCGCCATTGCTCCTCTTCCCTTGGGATATCGCTTCCACTCCTCTTAACATAGAGGATGCAAATACTGTTGGAACCGTTGAGAGGCGCACACTCTCATTACTTGCTGGCAAATAGAACTCGATAGTCTCGCCGAGTCAGCGCACCTGCGCCCTCCGCTGGGTCGCCCACGGCGCTCCAAGGATTATGCCGTGGTGAACTGGTCCAACCATGAAGTCCCATGTCAAGGTACTATATGTTGTCTCGCAGTTCCGGCCACATCTTATGGCCATGGTTATGTCGAACCTCGTGTCCTTCCTTCCATCGAAATTTAGTCTCACAGGCCTCGCCAACGAGTAGAGAGTTGCACGTCTTTCCTGTGGCATCCGACGTCGATTCCACTTCGCACCCTGTATCAACGACCGAGCCTGTAAATGCGCAGTGTCGGTGTGTGGGTGCGGTCGTCACCTCGTTTTGCCCCATCACTGTTATGTCTATCAGAGCGTTTCTCTGTTCCTCTCT